CGAATATTATTTTTATCGCTCCGTCGTGTGCATGTTTTTTCTCTCAGTATTTACTTATATTATACGTCAAATTTAGAGTTTTATTCACTCTTAAATTTAATAATCGAAATAAAGATGCAAAACCGTACCGGCACTCAATAATCTTTTTTTAATTTACAGTTGAGAACCGGAGACCCTTTTCACAAGTATAGAATAGAATAGAATAGAATAGAATAGAATAATTTTTTATTCAATATCGATTATTACATAATTCTTATTGAAAGTCATTTTTTATCTACCACTGGTTCGGAAAATACCTCTGTCCTGGGAAGAACCAGCAAGAAATCCAGCGGGAATTTTTTTTTCAAACATAATTTCGTTTATACAATTTTTAAAAATTTTTTCATAGAACCAGCATGGTGGCGATCACCTTATTCCCAGGGGTTATTTTCATAATGTATTCCTTGATATTATAATAACCCTTTTTGTACAGTTATTCTTTAATAAAACTTTTAAACTTGTTTATTGACAAACTTTGAATATGTACTGGGATTTTGTTGTAAAAGCGTATACATTGCCCCATAAATGAATTACTGATTCTGTGGAGTCTAGTAACTGGTATTACAAGCTTATGTTTGTTCCTAGTGTTTAAAGTATGCACATCAAAGAGGCAGTACATTCCTCAGGGGTGACAAGCCATTTATTTAGATAGTACATACATCTGACATCGATTTAGGTGGTTAATGTAGGCCATACAAATTCCTTTATAGCCTACATAAACCACTTACCATTAGATGGACTGTGTGGTCATTTGTTAACGTTATTCTATAAAAAACCAAATCGTTTTAGGCTCAAACTAGCATATTAAACTATCTGCATGTTCATTTTGTACAGCTAATGAAATACAATGAACAAAAACCGATCCAGAGCGGACATCGTAGCCTCTCCATCAAACACTTTCCAAGCTGCCTAATAAAATTTAAAGATTCTGTTTCCCAAGAACCTTTATTTACCACCCACTATCACAATCTGAGAGAATTTTGAAATATTTGTCTTAAAACATTAAAAATCAATCCCGTAAAATGGACTGACTTTCTGATGAAAAAGTATGGAAGTTGATGGATGTAGTATAGTACCTACATAGTACATGGTATATAGTAATATAGTAGTATATTTTTTCAGGTACTAGAAGAGATCTCACGTTGTACGTACAAATACATAGCTTGTTGTCATTTCTGGAATTATGGCGGATTTCAATTTTCCGCTGTATTTGACGTGATGGGAGATAAGTTTTGCTTGTATCAAACAGAACAGAATAGAACAGAAACTGTTTTATTCAATGTAGATTATAAATAAAACTTATCGAAAGTCATTTTTTTTAAAACCTCTGTCCTGGTAAGAGCCAGCAAGAAACCCAGCGGGACCTTTTTTTATTGTTGGATAAATTACAGAGCAAAATTGGCTACAGAAAGACAAAAACCGAAAAATCTGTCATTAACTTCCCGACCCAAAAACCTCGACTATATAAAAATAATATTTACTTTATATTAGTTAAGTTTAATAAGTGGTAGAGCCACGCAGCAGCTATGTTATGATTGTAGTGAGAAGGGGTTGGCTCGACACTGTAACGAACACGCACGGAATACCAGCGTAAAATAGCAGTTTTATGCCGTTGCATAAAATCCGTAATATATAATAAAGCAATCCGATGTTTAATAAAGCGTCAGCTATAAATTACTAATAAATATTCTTTTCCATTCTGTTGATGATACTAACAAATAAAAAAAACATTGGTAAAATGTATAATTTATGGAAAAATAATTGAATTAAACAAAACTTTTATAATAGCTTACACGATACAGCCAAATCTGCTTAAGAAATGCGTTAAGTTCAAACGGTGAACAAAACATTGTTATCAAAAGTTTCAACGCAGCATTCTTCACCGAGAGATCTAATTAAGGAAACTTATATTTAAATGAGTGAAGCTCTTGCAAAAATCTCCCGCTCCAGTTTATACGTTTGGTCTCTTAAGATAAGAATTGCTTCATTTAATTAACGCGGCTAATATTCCGTATCCGCAGCTGCTAAAAGTTGTAATTATTACAAGAAAAACGGGATATATTTTGTTGACTTTTTTCCAAATGTAAACAAAAATTAAGGTTTCTGGATATGTGCCTACTCCATTCTCAAAGGCAACGCACTTATCATTCCTCTGGTGTTACAGATGTTTAATGGCGGTGGAGATCAGTCATTACTATTCTGTAATATGATACAATAATATTTAATTCCTGTATAATAATATTAAGCCCAAAAGTAAATATATTAGTCTTAGTTGTAAGAATATCCACTACCCCATATCGTTCCATAGGTCTCGTAAGATGCGACAGAGGGAAACTAAAACGGAACATGCCCATGCATCTTCCTGACAGCTACGCAAAATATGGTAAAATCTGTCTTATGAGGTAATCTATAAGGCTTATATTCAGCAGTGAACTTTTATGCTATAATGGATTAATATAATATAATAATAACTGTTGATGATGTAGGCCGCTGATGTCGTCTTGGAGAAAAATATACTAAAACAATTTGGTGAGCGCGTGTACATCCGCGGGGAGGGAGACATAGGTGTCACCTCGAATGATGTTCTAGTGCAACTAACTCGAAGCGCGGGTTCATGTACTCAGCGGTGCAACACCGATGTTGCAAATATACCTTCACCCTACTAATAAAATCGCGATAAGTGCCACCGTCCTCGTATGCACACGTACTTATTTATTATAGAAAAACAACAAGTACATAAGGTAAGTAACAATGTTTTATGAGTATATATTTTACATATATTATTTTCTATTGATTACTATTATTCATATTTCAACGTGAGCGTCATCAACATCCTCCCCCCAAGTGTCGGTTCGCCGACACTCATCCCCAAGCTTGAGAAAGGCCACACGAGCAGCTGATCGCTTCATCACTCCTGACTTAGTCCTAACGTCAACTACTCTGACTCTGCCGTCTGAACCTGGATAAACCTTTTCAATAATACCTATTTGCAATAAAAACTTTGTAATTTCTATGCTCGTTACGAATCCAATAAATAACAATAATTGAGTCAGACCAATAAAAAAAACGCGACGGTTTAATTCTATGCTCCTTTTTTATAGTCTCTGCCAAGCGACATGCTAATAACGCGCCTTGAAGTTCGAGTTTAGGCATAGTTAACGGTTTTAACGGCGCAACACGACTTTTACTCGCAATGAATGACACCTGCACGCAGTTGGTGCCTTGTTTACGCCAATAAGCAACACATGCGTATGCGCATGGAGATGCATCACAAAAAATATGCAACTGCATAGACGTCTCATTGTCGTTTACGGCGCGACCGCTCTTCTCTTTCGCACCGACAGAGTCATCGCCATAGAAATGCCAGCGCGGGATTCGAACGTAACTCATTTCTTGTAACTGCGAAATCCAATCTTTGAATAAAATAAATAGACTATCTATTATTTCCTGATCCCACTTTATACCTACATTCCATATTTCGCGCATTAAAATTTTGGATTTTATCGTAAAAGGTGCTAAAAACCCATGAATATCATATACAGACATTATAATACGAAGAACTTCACGCTTAGTCGGTTTTCGTGATAGTTGTAAAATATCACTCGGTATACGCTTTAACGAAAGATCGAACCCGAACATATCACTCGCGGGAAACCACAAAAGCCCAAGCGTTCGTTCCGGCTGAGATTCGATATTAAACCGTATCGCCATATCATTTAAAGTCTCTTTTGGCATATCATTAAGAACATCTGAATTGTTACTTAACCAGTTACGCATCACAAAACCACCTTGCTGATTAATATATGAAACGTCTTTTATCATTTTTGTAGCAGTAGCGACATCTGGTAAACTATCGATAAAATCGTCCATATATTGATTTTTCCTAATTGCATTAACTGCATCGGGCATTTTATTCTGAAAGCGCAATGTGTTTTTATTTTGGTTAATATATTGCGCTATAAATGGGGAGCAATTAGCGCCGAAAATTAGTGACGTCATAACATATTTCTTAACAGGATGTTGTATAGGTGATTTTGACAGTTGTGCATCGCTAGCAACGCAAAGTCGGGAATTTGTATTTGGAAAAATCCAAAATTAGGGGCTTTTTAGGTGCTAATTAGGTGCCAAGTTTAAAAATTAGGTGCTCTAAAATTTTCACCGCAACGAACTGTTGAAATTTGCGTTGCTGGCAAAACGTCTCGCTAGCAACGCAATGAAGTTATTAGATATACGATAAATATTAATAGCAAGAAATTAAGTGCTAATTAGGTGCTGCAAGTATACTTATTAACAAGGCTCCCCTAATAAAAATAAAGTCGTTATTCAGAACATAGCAGATGCAAAATTCAGATTTCCTGAAAATCAAAATACAATCAAAATTGCTTTCAGAAAAAGTCCAAATTAGGAGCTTTTTAGGTGCTAATTAAGTACCAAGTTTAAAAATTAGTTGCTCCAAAATTTTCACCGCAACGAACCATTGAAATTTGCGTTGCTGGCAAAACGTATCGCTGGCAACGCAATGAAGTTATTAGATATGCGATAAATATTAATAGCAAGGAATTAAGTGCTAATTAGGTGCTGCATGTATACGCAATGACAAACTTCACTTATCTTCATTGCGTTGCTAGCGAGACGTTTTGCTAGCAACGCAAATTTCAACAGTTCGTTGCGGTGAAAATTTTAGAGCACCTAATTTTTAAACTTGGCACCTAATTAGCACCTAAAAAGCCCCTAATTTTGGATTTTTCCAAATACAAATTCCCGACTTTGCGTTGCTAGCGATACACAACTGATTTTGACCCTTTGTTACTACTTCCGAAGCCTAATTGTTCATTTTCATTACTTAAATAAATATCTTTCCACAAAAAACGCAAAGAATTAACATCTTCTGTCCGTACATTAATCCTTAAAAACATGTCTTTTATGTCCCCTATGATACCTATGCGGTTTTCTCTAAATCGTTACATTATTCCTAATAACGATTGTAACAAATCAGGGCCTTGTAAAAGAAAATCATTTAAAGAATAACCGTTCGACTTTGCTGCCGCGTCATAAACTAAACGCAGTTTTTTCTTATTTGGATTATCTACACCAAAGTGCGGCAAATACCATATTATACGTTTATTAAGGTTTTCATCGGTCTCGTTAAGTTCTCTAGCATAACCATTAGAAAATAAGTATGTCATTCTTTCACAATAACGAGTTGCATACTCTTTGTTGAGCAAAAATTTTCTTTCTATTGACTTTAACCGATTAAAAGCGTTAGGGTAAGAGTCGGGTAAATGTAATTCATCGTATTTCCACGGTAAGCCGACAGTCCATTGACCATGTACTAATTCTGCAGTGTCATCTAATATTTGTAAAGCGCGTATTTCGTCTGGGTTGCGGCGCGGCTTCGAACCTACACCAATAGATTCTAACGTGAAGGATCTACGAACCGCATCGTGCAACTGCGCGCAGGTACATTCACCATTATCATTATCGAGAGAGAGATCGCTAGTAATCGATCCTACCGTATGTACGTGAAAGACAGACTGCGATGGTCCCGCCGTTTCGGTGCAACTATTAATGAAAGAGACAAAGCGATCAGTGCAATTAACATCACTTACCATATATCCGTGCACACACCATCCAAGCGCAGTTTGAGTTATGTACGGTTCACGCCGCTTACCACGAACACAACGAATGGGAGTAATTAAATGATGATTGTCCTGACAAATTAATAATTTTGGCTTAGCGTTACAATTACATAACATAAGATCTTCACTTAACAATCCATAATTATTAAAGTCCATATTCGGCACTTTTTGTGTTGGTAAATTTAATTCTTTAATTTTACGCGCACGGAAAGTAAACATTTCGTTATACGAATTAGTAACACTAACACTCACTACTTGAGATTCACACACAAGCTCGCCCGAATCCCATGCGCTGCGCGCGCGTAATATCACGTTTTCACCGTATAATCCGAGCTCATCTGCTATATCAGAGGATATCACCGTCACAGTAGCTCCATCATCCAGTAGTGCATGCGTATGTAAACTGCCATTCGGTCCGTGAAGAGTGAGCGGCACCACTTTCAAAAGCACCTTGTGACATTGGGATGCCACTGTATGAGTCACTGTTTCATTGGTGCTGGGATGCTCATCCTCACCTCGCTCCACAGTTTTTAAGCTTTCTTCCAATGGTTTAATCCAGTGCAGTAAACGATGATGCGGTTGATTGCAGCCGTCAATGTCGCAATTACTGCTATTACAAGACATACCATTCGTATGGCGGGGGGCAAGACATTTGAAGCAAAGTTTATTTACGCGTACAAATCGCCAGCGATCTTTGCGTAAAGCGCGCTTAAACCGTGAACAATCTGAGACACCATGAGCCCCTTTTCGGCAAAATATACACTTTTCAGCGTTTTGTAATTGATTACTATTTGTGTACAGTAACAGCGAGTGTGAACGGTGTTTACGTTCATCGAGCTTCTTTAAATTATATAGAGCGTGAATGTGACTTACTCCTGATGCAGCTGTTTTAGTGGCTTCCTCGTATAAAAAATCACTAAGCAATTCCAGCTTCGGTAAATTACACTCCCGCTGTTCATAAACGTAGTCGGTCCATTTTGCGACAAGTAAAGTTGGAAGTTTGGATACGACAATTGATACTAATTCCGGGCTGCGAAGATAATCACTTTGTTGCATTGCTTTGGTAGCAGCCACATAGTTCTTTATTTTTATTGCAAAATTAATGATATCATTATGATAAGTTAGCGGCAACGGACATAGCTTTTTTAGCTGTAGAACTATTATACTCATAATTGTTTCTGGTTTGCCAAATCGAAGTTCTAAGGTGTCAATTACTAACTCGGGTGTAGTTCCACCAATCAAGAGTGAAGTCACCGCTTCTTTAGCATCGCCACGAAGACACTTACGCAGCCGCCATAAATTCTCTGTGTCACTATATTTGCATAATTGGGTAGATTCTTGGTACGCCTGTTTAAACTGCAACCACTCCATTGGATCTCCAAAAAATAAAGGCAGGTCTTTAGACGTTGCTAATCTTGTTAAGAGCTCCTGGTTCTGTGTTTTATATGATGAGGCAGCCACTGCCTCATTCAAGGCATGTGCCAGCTTTTCTAGGCCGATTGTTTCACGGGAGTAATCTTCTCGGTTCTCCTTATGCTGGTTTCCTGGGGCAGAATTTTCAACTTTGCTGGTCGAAGATTTTACAGCTGACTTGTGGGAACAGCGTGATCGAGATTCCAATTCAGCCATTTCAGCAGCAAGCTGTTTGTTTAGCAGCTTCGACTGAATATTTGCCTTAATCTTGGCAGCTACTGCCTGAGCACTTTTAACCTTGTCTTTAGCTTCAGCTTCCGCTGCTTGTATTTCCACGAGAGCCATAGCTTTAGCGGTTTCGTATTCCAATTGCCGTTTGCGTGCCGTACTTGACGACGTGCCTGCTGTCTTTGATGACTTTTTACTCTTACTACAGGCATTTTGCGCATTTTCAGGTTTTTCCAGCACTTCATCCTTTAAGCTGAACGATGGTAACACATCTTGGTTGTTCTTGCACTCCGATTTTGCAGCGGTGCCACGTGGTCGTCGCTTTTTGTGCGGTGTAGCCGGCGTGTGGAACATAACTGGTACTTATTATAATTATATTTTTTGCAGACAACGTAAAGATTCGGCCGAAAGACCACTTTGTTGATGATGTAGGCCGCTGATGTCGTCTTGGAGAAAAATATACTAAAACAATTTGGTAAGCGCGTGTACATCCGCGGGGAGGGAGACATAGGTGTCACCTCGAATGATGTTATAGTGCAACTAACTCGAAGCGCGGGATCATGTACTCAGCGGTGCAACACCGATGTTGCAAATATACCTTCACCCTACTAATAAAAATCGCGATAAGTGCCACCGTCCCCGTATGCACACGTACTTATTTATTATAGAAAAACAACAAGTACATAAGTTAAGTAACAATGTTTTATGAGTATATATTTTACATATATTATTTTCTATTAATTACTATTATTTATATTTCAGGTGTTCGAGAAGCAACGTAAGCGTTATCAACAATAACTAAGTTAAATAATAATAACTTTGGCCTCTCAGTATATTTACGAAAATTTAATGTATGTTCACAAAAACAAAGGTAGTTTTAGTAAAAAAAGTGATATACATTCTGTAAACACTAACATTATAAATATAACACGAACGCGTCGTCTCTGTGCGTCGACTCTATTGAGGTAGGACCACGCTCTCACAGAATTAGTGTGCTTAATGTGTGTTTCGCATGGTGAGTGTAGAGAACCGGAGACGTTTTTTATTGGAAACGAGACATTTTATCATAGTACTTAGGACGCATCCCCCGAGTCCGATACGCGGAGGCCAGGAAAAAGGACCACTAAAAGGAGCACTTGGGAGCGCTAGCTTTACTGACCCTGGCGGAGGGTCTCGTCTCTGACTCCGCCGCCAACCAAGATTCGGCTGCAGAGAGTAGGAAGAACAGCGCCTCGCAATACCGTCCTTCTCTATACCTCGGCAGCCCCACCACCACCCTATCAACGGTATGGCCCCCTCAGACTCGCGAAAGATAGAGCGAGTGGCGCATCGCCATTCCAATACACCGACACGACCGAGGAAAGGCATAAACTCCTAGGTTTTTCTTTATATGATAAGGGTGACAAACGAGCACACAGTCCACCTGATGGTAAGTGGTTGCTGCGGCCCATAGACATCTACATCTATCCTCGTTTGCGAATCAAAATGCAGATGCGTTGTCACCCGTGAGGACTAAGATGGAATGCCTCATTTCCAGTAAAAAGGGCCTTCGGCCACCTGCACTCACCAAACGAAACGCAGAAGTAAACCTCTACTTCACGCTGGTATTCTGTGAGGTCGGGGTACCACCCCGGTTCGAGCCGACCCATCCGTGCGACAGCAAAAGCTGCCGCGTGGCTCTACCACTGTTAAATAACTCCTAGGTTTTTTTTATATGATAGGGTGACAAACGAGCATACATTCCACCTGATTCTAAGTGCTTGCTGTGTCCTATAGACATCTAAATTTATCCTCAATAAAGAAATGCAGATGCGTTGTCAGGCGTGAGGACAAAGATAGAATGCCTCTTTTCTGGTACAAAGGGTAGCCGGTTCTCTACACTCAGCATACGAAACACAGCAGCATTACGCTAGTATTTTACGCTGGTATTCTGTGAGAGCGTGGTCCTTCCCCGGTCGAGCCGAACCATTTGTGCTACAACTATACTACTAATATAGCTGCATCATGGCTCTACCACGTATATACATATAAAAAGGAAAAAGGAAGCCCTAATGCCTAAACATGTTTAAGTTCACAAAAAAGCGCACAGTCATTATAGATAGGTTATACGAAAATAGCATAATTAACGTAAGTACTTAATTTACTTTTTTATAGAATAAGAATGAAAAAAGAGCACACAGTTCACCTGATGATAAGTGGACGCTGTGGCCCATAGACATCTACAACTATCCTACATTGAGAATCAAAATGCAGATGCGTTGTGAATCCTGACCATGTAAAATTGCTATCTACTACGAGCAGGAATTTCATCATCAATCGTTTCATTGCATTTTTATAGATATGGAGCTGAGTTTGATTTGTAGGAAATAATGGCAATTCCAGGAAATACTTAAAACTAAAAAGGTATCCAGATCCAGCTGTGTACGGCTAAAAACTTATATTGATTTTCTTTTTTTTTTCATCTTAAGCGGTTCGTAAAAGTTTACGGCTCATGTCATGTGATTCTTTTTTCATTTCATTCACAGTCATTGTTATAGTCACATAATTATGTATGTAATTACTCTGAGCTTAATCGGCATGCTTGGCGGGCGGTTAGCGAGTGAATCCACTTGCACTTACAGATTACAGTGCCGTGAGTATTGCACGCGCACGACGCTATAAAAACATTGCATTCATAAAAATCAATATCATACTTGTGTGATATAGTTTAGTAGTCTTCTTAATCATCATCAGCCGGTAAATGTCCGCTGCTGTAGGCGTCTCTCTTTGTAGAAAAGCCTAAAACTGAACGCACATTTGTCCGCAACGTATGCGCCGTACGCGCCGAATTTTAGGATTCGTTGTATGAAATCATATGAAACCTCGCAAATTTCACCCGCAGTGTACGCGCCAAATTTTATAAAATGCGGTCGGTATCGGAATATTGAAGGACGCATGCTGATGACGTCATATAACGCGGCGCGTTCGAGGCGTGCTGATACTCAGTGTTGACTAATGTTGCCAACTTAGTGGATTTTCCACTAAAACTGGTGGTTTCGACTTACGTGATAATTTTTGTATTTTATAACTTTTAATTAATTCGTCATTAATTATACATAATTTGAATTTTTTTGCATCGTTTATCAATATGAATAATTCATGATAAATTATTTAAATTCTGAGCTAAAAAAATATTGATAGTTACTTTTAATTCAAAAACCCAATTATCCCTGTTACTTAATTATCAATATAAATACTTACCTCAAACATACAACAAGTGTTTTCTCTGGTTCAATTGGCCTCATAATCACGAGTTTTCCATAGAAATATTTGATTTAGTATATGTAGCAATTCTTGAAATTTCTTTTATGTTAAATGCAAATATCTAAAAATTCGACTTATTAGTCTTTAAATAAAGTATAATATTCTCCATACCATTGCTTTTTTAAACTCATATTATGAATCCAGAATCTTGTTTTTCTTCGAATTTCTCTTCCTCTGTCGATAAGCAAGCTATTGCTATATTTTTTCCATAGTGATTTCGAGCGACCAATATCACTGTACCGTTTCACACCAGTGGTTGGAAAAAACTGCAAAAATTGTTAGCAATACAAAAGATTAGCGTACGGCGCGGACGGTGCGTACATGCAAATGTGCGAGGCCATCAGTAAAATTCGGCGCGTACGGCGCGCTCGTCACGGAAAAATGTGCGTTCAGCTTTAACCGCCACGCTTGGCGGCGGGTTGACGATCTCAGTACGTTGGCGGTCTGGTTATTTCACGTCTGACGTAAACAAAATTTTAATATCGCCATATCTCGAATGCTATAACATTTAATGATTTCTTATGTTTCCACGAGCAATACACATTTACTAGTACTTACTATACGAGTACTTTAAATTAGCACTTAGTATTTTATACTAGTACTTTAAAATTACTAACTTTTGGTCCGAGTTCACACTGCGTAGATCGGACCAAAAATTAATACTTTTAATTTGAAGGTTGTCGTGGTTAACTATGACATTATACTTTATTATACGTGGTAGAGCCATACTGCAGCTATATTAGTAGTATAGTTGTAGCACGAATGGGTCGGCTCGACCGGGGAAGGACCACGCTCTCACAGAATACCAGCGTAAAATAGCAGCTTAACGCTGCTGTGTTTCGTATGGTGAGTGTAGAGAACCGGAGACCCTTTTTACTGGAAACGAGGCATTCCATCTTAGTCCTCACGGGTGACAACGCATCTGCATTTTGATTCGCAAACGAGGATAAATGTAGATGTCTATGGGCCACAGTAACCACTTACCATCAGGTGGACTGTGTGCTCGTTTGTCACCCTATCCTATAAAAAAAAAAATCATTAGGACATTGAAAACCTCATTCCCCCCTTGACCAATGGTGCTGTGAAGTACTCGATACTTCAGAAATATAAAAGAAGTTAATAAATGTGATAAAATCTTAAAGACCTGTTTTTATTTAAATGCTATAAGATTAACCTGGCCATTCCCATAGTCACCTCTTAGTCCATGACACCCATGGTAAGAAATACTTAGATAGATATTATAAAGTGTAGGTTATTTTAAATGCGAAATAGTATGTTATATTATTTAGTAGTTTTTAACGAAAAATTTTACTAATTTCGTTTTTAATCTAAAACTTCATCACACTCGATGCTCCGGGGTGCAATGTTGTTAAAGTTAATGAGTATTTTACACGTCCTGCTTATAACTAACTAACATTTAACAGGGATCTTAAATAAGGCGTAAAGGAGATGTTACAAAAATTCTGGGATAACGAAGTATATATTACAATATTTTTTTAAGAAAAGTTATCCCCACACTATAATTTTCTCCTGTATCGTGGAAGTAGTTTACATACATACGAGTAAATTTCACAAGGAAAAATATCCAGACCGAAATAATCAGTGTAATTAAAGCTGAAAACTTTATACCGAAATAATCAGTATAATAAAAGCTGAAGCGTCAGTAGCCCATGGCAGGGCGCGGATCGCGAACTCGGAAAGTCGTGGGTTCGAATCCGCCATTCGACTACTGTCGTGAACCACTTCTAACACAAGCATTTTAAGGTTATCAGAAGTGGTTATAGGGAATATTAGTAATGTTTAAGCATTACTTGTATTTTTTCAAATAAAAAATATTTTTATATGATGACATATTTGTCCCTTCGCACCGGGTTAATTATGTCTCAATCTTAACGTCGTGGGACGTAGTAATAGATTTTAATTTTATATAACTTGTTTATTAAAAGTAAACAAATAATAGTAAATAAAAAGAACAAAAGAATAAATGAGCGTGCGCGTAGTCTCGTTCCCAAAATCGTGAGTCTGTCGAATTTGAAGTAGGCCACAGTTAC